CCCACTGCAGCAGTAGATGGAAGAAATAATCAGATCCTTTACTTACTCCCCCCTCCACTCAGGAATATGTTTTTCTTCTTGATCCTACTGTTAGATGTTTGAGCGTCACTGTGCTGAATGATGTATGTGCAGAGACACTAGAAGGATGTTTTCACATTCATCTGCTGAAAGTGGAAAGTTTCTCTGAGCTCATTGAGAATCTGTTTTTTTTTAAGGGGCGGAGCCTACAAGCATAATTTGTGACATCACAACTAGTCTGGAAGTCAAACCTGGTCCAATATGCAGATTATTTGATATAGAGTGAGCCAGCAGTGCAGATACACTGAGGATGGACTTTACAGTTAGTGGGAGACATCTTGTGTTCAGCAGGAAAACTTCATATATTCATATATTTTGATATTTTTATGTAGGAAGAATGAGAAGATGCCTTTTTAATGATTTTAATGTGGAAATTATACGTTTTATCCCCTTTTTTTTAGAAAAATATTAATTATTGTTCCAGGTAGAGTATTCATATATGTCTTAATACATATCTTGTGGGGATCTTTTAATAATAGTATTAATACCACATTCAAAATCTTACTTGAAAAAAGTATAATTAGGAAAATTGTACTAAAATTATTGAAAAAATATTATAATATATTATATCATAAGATTTTTATACATAGGCCTACATACATACATTTATGCAGGTTGTTACTGCTGGAGTTGGACAGCAATTGATGATATTATTTTCATTATACATTTATCTGCTGATAATCTTCCTAATAAAGTGATGATGACATTTTTAGTTTGTAAAAAGTCTGCCCAGCAGAGCAAAACCCAAAGTGACACCTTCACAACTCCAACCAACAGTACAAAATTAGTTTTTTATTTCAATTGAATTAAATTTTTCAAATATTTATTTACATTTAAGAAACTAGAGTCATGAAATATTGCAACTTTTGCAGCTTTTGATAGGATCCAATCGCAATGTTTATACTTGAGGCTCTTTTATTAGTTGACTCAATACAACTTGTGTTGTCTTGAAATGGGTTTGTTATTGTGTTGGGTGAAATAAAGAGCAACTTCATTTACTGAATCCTTGGCGTAGAGATAAAATACAGGCGAAAATGCTTCTACAAAATGTCCACTTGTCCTTATCTAACAGGAGGAAGATGCAGAAGACAAAACAGACTCAGTGGCATGAATGAAAAATAAACATATATTGATAAGTTTTTCTCTCTGTCTTCTGTTCATTCAGTCATTTCACTTTATTTCACAAGTCAACACTGATTTCCTGAGTCCCGGGAACATATAGTAAAACAATCAACATTAAAACGTTTCTTGGTCAAATGTGCAGGTGTCCAGATTTTATCATGATTTAGCTTTCAATATAAAGGCTCCATTAGCTCTTGGTAAGAAGCCTGTTGTTTGACTATTTGATGTTTGTATGAAGGTAAGTTAAATGCTTAGCATGCCTCATGGGAGAACAGTCACAATACTGGATCCTGATTGGCTGAATTCACCAGCGTGTCTGATTGTCAGGATCAGAGCAATTACTGGATTAGTGGAGTCAAGATCACACTCAGTTAATGCTGACTGCAGGGAGGAAGAGCCTTACAGTAAAATAAAGACAGATTCAATCAAAGAAAAACTATTATTTAATATTTTAAAACATATTTGAACTGTGTCTTAATTAAATGTCTTTAATTACATAAAAATCAAGACAGGTTACAGGCCCCTTTAAATTTGGAATAAGCGCGCGGACAGGTGAGATGCATCTACTCAGTGACTCCTGTGGTTGAACTGTCCGTGGTGCTGAAATCTGGCCGCATATTTCTCACTTATTTGGAAAGTTGAATCATAATTTAAGACTATCAGACTTTATTGAACGCGCCTTTTACAAACACCAACTCCCAATCACAGTTTAATGACTGTACCTGTCACCAGTTAACGGAATTATTCTTTACCAGCAGTGTCTGTGGGCTGAAGATGATGATCTCCCCGGTTAGTTTTAAGGGATGCACGGCTGCGTGGGTCTTTGTTCGGCTTGAATTCTCCTCATTATTTGCTCTCTGGAGCTTTGTGACTTCTCCCTAAATCCGATTGCCTTACGCCTGGTCGGTTAGGGGCCTGCACAGTGATAGCAGTGCGTAAAAAGATGGTTAAACTATGGCCTCCAGCCGGTCATTGTCTATAGGTATACCTCTCAGAAATGCTGTAAATAGCTAAATAAGTTATTTTTATAATATTTAAATATTGTATTGAGCCAGTGTTATAACTTCCACCTCATTAAAATGTCATCCTGAGCTGGAAAATAACATAAATCAACAGGTGTAAATGACAACACATCCAAATACACCTGACCTGTTGTCTCTGGTGTTTCCTCGTCGTTCAAAAAAAAATCATAAAGGATGTCAAGACATTCACAACACACGCAACAACGTGTCTCTGCATTGTTTTGCAGTGACTTCTGTAGGACTCTCACTCGTTTCTCGTTGTTAAAGTCTATCCTATAGTATGTCAAGTATCCGCATACTGATGCTGAGCTCCCGAAAAAACAGATACACAATCCACTGGCCCCTTTGTTAGCGTCATTTCATTGACTGCTGGAGGAGAAGAGAGTCACTAATACAAAAAAAAAGTGAAAGAAGGCAACCCCGGCAACCATGATGTTGGTTATATTTGTGTAAAGGCTATCAGTGAATGACGAGGATTAGGACGAGTTAAGGAGATTATGTCACACATTCACCATTCACCCACCCCGGCAGCCACCCACACACATGCGCGCACACACACACACTCACGCGCGCACACACACACACACACACACACACACACACACACACACACACACACACACACGAAATAACTGCAAATGTTATTGATCTAACGTGATTTCCAAATCAGCTTTTTGTAGGTTTCATTTCGTAAATTCTCACCAATAAGACACGTTTTCATTACCTATGGCAAAGAATTTGTAATCCTTTAAAAATGTAAAAATAAATGAGTCAGTAAAATGGTCCTCATAATTAAGGTGCATTGTAGCTTTTATGTGAACCATTTATAAGAGGGAGAATAAAACACAATATGTGGCTATAAACTTCCTATTGAGGCTTTCTGTGTGTCCCTGCAGGAAAAAATCAAAGGAATATTATAGTGATTTCACCACAGGCTTGTTAGTCTCCAGCCTTGGCTGTGCAGCTAAAGGGCAGGTTGAAAGACACAACAATGGCTGATTGCAATTAACTACGCCTCTCCGCCTCGCCCCTGTCCGCTTAAATCGACACTTTGTGAGTCCATATGGCCTTCAGTGTACCGTGGGAATGAACACAATTAAAAACAGAATATGGATTTCTGGAGTTACCCGGCGAAAGCACAGCAAGCTGTCAAGGTCAGGGTGTCAGTGAGTTGGGGGCCTGCAGCCAGACCAAGACCCTCCGGACGACCGGGCACGGTTCGCGCCCCGGTGTCCAAATTCTGATCACTGACTGCAGGGGGTGACAGGAGGAACTTTAAACCAGCTTACCCACTAGTTGAAGATGGTAAATTAATTAATTAGCCAAATTTGAGGGCATAAGAGAGTGAAAGACATATTGTATCGAATTTTTATAATTTCAGTTTATTATTAAAGTGAGTTTTCAGGACAAGATTTGGTGTAACTGTAGTTTTTATCTGGTGTGAAAGTGAGTGTGAGGGGAAACAACAGTGTGGGATTATAGTATAAGTGCAGGATAGTAGTGAATAATAAGGCGCCCAAATGTTTGAAAAGTAAGAACTCAGATTAAATGAAATATGTTTTATATATATATAATATAATTTATATCATATTATATATAATTTATGTTTGTTTGTATGTATCTATGCGTTGTTTCTAAAAACTGCATTGGTTCAAATTAGTCAAGTATTCATCATTATATCAAAATCCAGCAGACTTGTTTTGGCTTCACAGTGCAGGGTGCCAATACTCTGTCTGTATACTCTCCAGCTAACGAGCTCTAACTTCAGATTGACCACATTAATCAATCGATGGCAAACCCTTTGAATGAGCACCGATAAATAAACCCAAATAACAACCTAGTTAAAAACACCTGCAACAGGATAAAAACCCCCTGTGATCAGTGGGGGAGGCTCAACGTGACATTAAAATAAGCCTTTAACAAAAGAGAGACAACTCACTTATGTGCAACAACATAAAAAAAACCCTTATTTTAACATTATTTCTAGAATATTGCAATAAGTTTGAATGCTTTTCTTCTTTGACGTTTCTATAACAAATATTAAAACTAAACTGAAAGTAAATCAGTACAATTTCTAGCTCAGCTGTGTAACAGTTGCTCTGACTGATCAATATCTACAGTGGGCCCCAAGCACTTATCACTGAATCATAAGGACTGCATGTGTAACCAGACACAATTGTTTTTGTGCTTGTGTGTGTAGGAAATGAGGAGCATGACACTGTTTTATGTCTGAGCCCCTTAAAACTCCCCTCCCCTCCCCCATATAGTAACCTCTCAGTGGTCGAACAACACAGCCTACTTCAGCAGTTCTGATATTCTTTACATAACTGCAAGTTTCCTGCAGCACCGTCTCAAATTCCGCTCCATGCAGAGAGTAAGGTGAGATTTTGTTGTATATTCTTTTATTTTTCGAATATGATTACATGTTGAATCATGTTCTCAGGTGTATCGTGGGACTACAAGAGAAGTAGTCCAATGATAAACCTAAAATAAACGAATCCAGAGCTAAAACAAATGTAAATTATGCAGAAAACATGTATGCAACACGTGTTTTTTGTTTGCAATGCCTCTTGATCCATGAGCAAGGCACTTCACATCGCTTGCACACACATTCACACGATCAGTCACTCTCTCTCTCTCTCTCTCTCTCTCTCTCTCTCTCTCTCTCTCTCACATACACACACACACACGCACACACACTCCCTCACACGCCAGTGACGTCAGGCTGGAGTTTGGAGTAGAAAGCCAAGTGGATGAAGGAAGTGGAGATCTCCACCCTCCAGCCTCCCCTGACACTTCTCATAAATATTACCAAGGCTTATTTGAGGAACTCGCACCACAAAGTCACATCGTGTCCTGGTTTTAACAAGCGTTCACCTGTCAGAATAGACGAAAATTGATTTTTTTTTGGTGTCTTTTTTCGTTTCTTCTTTCCCACCGGGCTGACACAGTCGGATGCGCTCCAGGCAGCGTTTTTCCAACTCCAACTTTATGCACCGCCTGGAGGGTTGCTGTAGCCGCTAACCGGTCGCTGTCCCGGGGGGGGCTGCAAGTCCGGCTCTCCGACCGTGCACATCGGAGGCGAAGATTTGTCTGATACAATGTACAACCGTACTGTGTCTTAAATTTGGGCTTCGTCGATCGGAGATCTGTCAAGTTGGGCAACTCGGGACGTTGACTTGCCGATCTCATCGCTGCTGGTAAAGACCCCCAAAGGAAAGTGCTGTGGTTTCACGCTTTTTTTTCATTGTTTTTGTCAGCAAGAATAAGAAGATAAAGAGGACCCCCCGTTTTATTTTCGTTCTGAACTTTATTATTAAGTCAAGTATCCATGATGAGCAAACCCGCCGGCTCAACAAGTGGCTGTCTGGATATTCTGAATGTCAAATCAAGTAAGTTAGAATAAGTCGTCTATATTTGGCCTTTCTCTGGCATGGAGAGTGTAAAAAAAAAAAGAACTGTTGTATGGTTACTTCCACGGCTTGTGCATGTCATCGGAGCTTCAATACAATAATTAAGTCAGTTGATTCCTCGTGGTCTTACAAAAATGTGAGTAGTGATCCGTGGGGAATAGCTGTCGTCCGTGTCCTTTTTCCGAGTACACACAGACACACACACACACACACACGCACACCTACACACACACACACACACACACACACAGTTGGCTGCGTAAACTTGTGTCCGTGGCTGATAATTATCACGTCCTCGGCCTGATTGGAAAGACATCTCTTAAGAAATATATATATTTTTTGTAAAGTTGAGAGGTAAAGAAGTGACCATCCACGCTCCGAATAATCCTCCTGCGTCCCACTTGGTGCCACTTGTTGCCTGTAATTTCCTTTTCAGCAATGTCCTTAAAAGAGTGATAATGCTTTAAACGAAGAGCGAGATATTTATCTAGCAATGATATGATTTTTAAAGCTCGTGTAAGAGACTCTTCTCTTATTGTTCTGCCCTTTTAGACAAATTATTCCAGCCCTTTAATATCGGTTTTATGTGCCTGCGGGCGCGCGTTTCTGTACTACTGCAGAAAAACGTTAATTTATATTATTAATCGTGAATGTAGTCAGTCTATTTAAATTAAATTGTCGAGTATTTTTCTTTTGGTGTTGGAGATTTTCTCGTGGTTTAAGGTTTTTAGATTAAATTGGAATGGGTGTGTAGTTTTTTCCTCATATACACAGGCCTCATAATCAATAGAAATTAAATCACAGTTATAATATTGGCACAAAGTGTGTTATTGCTCTGTTTCAAAACACATAACACTTCTGTTAAATTTACATTTCGCCTGTGTGTTTCTTTAAGTATCGTTCACCATTTCCGAATATGAGTTATTCATGTCAAACTGTTGCTTCTGTTGTGTGTAGTACCTCAGGTGCCTCAAATGTATTTAAATTGCTGTACACAACCGACCTGTTTTAAATTAGAATAAAGCAACAAACAGAACAACTTCTGTCATTCAAGTTCACATTATGGGTGGTCAGCAGAGACATTTCCTGCAAAACTTCATTTCCAGTTCTTTTAGCAGGTTTTTGCCTTGATGGTGATTACGTTAATAGAATATGCCATATATCCTCAAGCAATTACTGCACACAATGGAGACGAATTGGACCCCCACAGCGGGAAGTTAAATACATTTCCCCCATTCACAACAAAATTGTTCGTCATTTTATTTAATTGACTCTCAGCAATATACAATTTTATATTTGTTTGAGCTTATCTTGTTGAAATTCTGCGCACTTAAATCACTCAAAACTTTTATTTCAGGAGTGTAAATGAACTTGACTTGCTTAAATTCGGTTTATTAAATATCTGTTAATCAGTGAGTGACTCCAATGAATACAGTCAACATTTTTTTATAAGTAAAAACAAATTTAAAAAATCTAGATTCTACCTGGACTATAGATAATTAGAAATGGGGATATAACTTCTTATACAGCAGGTTGTTGTTGTTTTTTAAATTACTCCCGTGATCAGAAGATGACTTTCAACAGGCCTTATAGAGAAACTCTTAGCAGATATAAATGCTACATAAAACGTTGGTTCTCTCTATTTTATCGCAATTACACGGCTGTGGCCAACAGTTAAATAGCCAACATGTCCTTCTGATTCTTAATAATCTGGCAATTGAAGCTCTATAACTCTCTCCTGGAGTCATTGTTTTTGCTGCTCAGTGGTTATTCCCATGCTACCCTTTTTGACGGGTCAGTGGAGAATCAATGAGCAGGTGGCAAAACGTCAGTGTAATTACATAGACGGCTTTTCCCTCCAGAATAAAAAAAAAGACTCCCTCATATGCATACAAATATACCTCTATAGATTTGAATACAAAATCTCCACAAAAAAAAATCAAATTTTTTTCATCTACACCGGGGTCGATTTACATACACTTCATTTGAGTTGGTGAAACGAGTTGGTGCGCATTATTCTCATGGTGCAGTGTCACTCCCTAATCCTGGGGCCTATAGACCTGCGGGATAAAGCAGCTGTCGAGTCCCATTATGAAGGGGAGTTGGCAGCTTGTCGAGATCCAGGCAGTCAGACGAGGTTCAATGGGGGAAAATCATTAAGTTAACACTTTCCCCTAATGTCTCCATTGTGCGCCCTCAGGCCATTGTCTTAGAGAGCTCAGATATGACGCTTCCCACCGGACTTTATTCTTGAAATGTGCGCCGTGAATTCCCATGGACGGTCGAGGTGCGGGGCGCTGTCCAGTGTGTGTGTGTGTGTGTGTGTGTGTGTGTGTGTGTGTGTGTGTGTGTGTGTTTTGTGGGGTTGCGGACAAAAAAAAACAAGTAATTTGTAAGACGATTTGTCCACAGTGCAAAATGTCCAAAATGAGTTCATTTTTGGCATTTACTGTATGAACACAGTGCCAACTCAAGCAGACAACCTAAAACTCATTTAACTGAAATACAGAACTAAACTGCAAATAATTTTTTAAAAAGCTATGAGCATATTTTCCAAGTTTGTGTCAACTTTGGAACTAGTTCTTGGAATTTAGCCACTTCTTCAATATTCATGAGAAACGATAAGCAATAGTCACAATTTGCCATGTCTTTTTATTCATTTAAAATTGAGTCGAGTGGCTCTCTAGTGATTCTGTGAGCGGTGTCTTACTGAAACATGGACCTTTCTCAGGTCGGATTCTGGACATTCCATGCAAAGTGTGCGGCGACCGCAGCTCAGGGAAGCATTATGGTGTTTACGCCTGTGACGGCTGTTCGGGATTCTTCAAGAGGAGCATCCGCAGAAACAGGACCTACGTCTGTAAATCTGGCTCTCAGGTGAGGCTTCCTCCTTATTTCTTATATATCCACGTTTAAGTCCTATATGCTTGTTTTCACGCAGGCCTCTAGTGTCGTATTTGTATCATTTATTTTGTGGAGAAGTTAGAGACACAAGCAATCAGAAAAAGGAATGGGAAGCTTTTCCATTCACAGTCATCTGAGCCTAATAATCTGTCACGTGCTCTCAATAATGTCTCATCAGCAAACTACAGTTACAGCACTTGTCCCAAGAGAGATTTGTGCTCTTAGTGTTATTAGAAGCGGGATTTAAGTGACACGACGTACCTGGTCCTCATCCAAAAACCATTAACAGCTTTACGCACGGAGTGCGCTTTTTACGCGCAGATTTGCTTTTCCCTGTTGGCGCTATGTTAAGTCTCCCTTGATGAGCCTAATTGTGTCATGCCTCTACCATTAAGTATTGGGCTAAACACCGCGCTGCTATAATGTAGCAGGTGTAATCCAATCTAATGTGATGACTCCAAGGCGAGGATTTAGGCAGCAGAGGGCGGGATAGAGTACTTATCCTCCGGGATGAGGCCGCACTAGAGCCGCAGGGGAGCAGGTCGATAACTACACGATAATAGCACGATCTCTCACCTGGGGATTGGCCTCCCAGGAAGATAAAAGCAACAAGCCCCTGCCGTGCAAACTGAGATAAATTCAACTGAAGGCTGTAACTGTCTTTCTCTCCCCGTCTTTCTCTCTGTGCAGGGCGGCTGTCCCGTCGACAAAACTCACAGAAACCAATGCCGAGCGTGCCGTTTGAAAAAGTGTCTGGAAGTGAACATGAATAAAGACGGTAAATGGGCTTAATTGAATTATCACTTTGGCCATAGGCACGCCATGCAGTGGGGTTTGGGTTCGAGGTGGGCAGCTCGGATGGGAAACTGTATTGAGGCTGTTAATCGACCCTCAAAAGATGAAACGGGTTGATAATTATCTACTCTTTATTTATTTTAAAGGGGAAATTATTTATACTGTGTGGGAGCATTCATAGATTACAGCTCATTGAAGCCAATTATTTTGTCTGTCGCACAAACAAAATGTGCTCTTTGAGTCCTTAATTTTGGGACCAGTTAGTTCAGCGCAATAAAAAAATAAACTGGTAGTGAGATAAATAACTCCCTCCTGTCCCCTAACTCTGTGTCCCTCCTGTCCCGTTTCACAGCCGTTCAACACGAGCGGGGGCCGCGGACGTCCACCATCCGCAAACAGGTTGCCCTATATTTCCGGGGCCACAAAGAGGTGAACGGATCATCGACCCATTTCCCGGGATCCTCCCTGCCCGGCCCTCCCTTCTTTACCACGGTCACGCAACTGGAGCCTCACAACCTGGAGATGGGCACAGTAGCCACCACACCGGAGAGACAAGCCATCGTGGGTCTGGCACAGCCCACCCCTAAGGTATATCTTGGGATGTATTTAAAATTATATATTTCTTTAAAGCCTAGGATTTGACTTACTTGGATTATAAATTGTTTTTTTTTACTGATCACTCTATAGTCTGTTTGTTCTTTACTGGCCATTTATAGCATTTCATGTCATTTTTAAAAAAATAGAATGATCAGAATATACACTTCTTTTAATAGTTTACGATTTTCCGTGGATATTTGTATTATAGCCTTTCTAAATGTTATTATAGGATTACATTTTTTTTTTTTTTTTTCGTAAGGGTTAGAAGTTGAAATTCTTGTCCCTATTTGGAGCCACAAATCCGCCTATTAGATTTCTCACTGTAAATCCACCACAAGCAACACTAATGATTATAAAATCAGGTGCTGGGGCTTGGAATTTGACCTTTGTTGTTCACCATTCTCTGAACGGTTTCATTATAACACAGACTGATACATGACGGCGATGATCTCTTTCTCTCCCTCCAGTATCCCCATGAAGTAAGCGGCACCCCCATGTACCTCTATGAGGTGGCGACGGAGTCTGTGTGCGAGTCAGCGGCGCGCCTCCTTTTCATGAGCATCAAGTGGGCAAAAAGTGTTCCCGCATTCTCCACCCTCCCTTTATCTGACCAGGTACTTGGATTGATGGGCTGAAGTTTAAGAGTTTTAAACAAGGAGTCCAAATATTATCCCGCAGGGGCCTTTTGAAAATGAGCAGCAGTCAAGGGAAACTGTTAGGAGAGGAATTTTATGCTTATGTTTTATGCTGGTGATGTTACTAATGTACTTCTGTTTAATAAGAGTCAAAAGGGCTTCAAATAGAATAAATCATTGGTGCATTGTGGTGCACAGTTTAACACTGAAACAATTGCTCTTTGCAGCTGATTCTGCTGGAGGACGCCTGGAGGGAATTATTTGTTCTGGGCATCGCACAATGGGCCATTCCTGTGGACTCCACTACTCTTCTTGCTGTTTCTGGTATGTAACAAGGCATGAGAGAGCTTATCTGAATACAGGCCACTAACAGGCCTCATGAGCTGCAGATGTAAATGTGTTAGCACAGTCCAGTCGATGTCTGCATACTGCTGCAGTGTTAAGACATTTTCTCCACATTTCTTCACAGGAATGAACACTGAAAACACAGAGTCTCAGCGGATGAATAAGATCATGTCTGAGATACAAGCACTTCAAGAGGTGGTCACCAGATTCAGACAGATGCGCCTAGATGCAACAGAGTTTGCCTGTTTGAAATGCATCGTGACATTCAAAGCTGGTTAGTATTATTATCTCACTGGGTACTTCACAGTATTCTCATTTAACCAAAAAGGAGTTCTAAGTACCAAAAGCCATTATTTGCGCAAACTCAAGCTTCCCTGCGGCCTAAACCCATTTCTGGAAAGGGAAGGGGAATTAAAAAAAAAAGAGATTTCAGCAGCTCAATTACTAGTATGTCATCATTTATACATCACACCACCTTTTTTAACTGTTAAAACCCTGTCTTTGTTTTACAGTTCCTACACATGGCAACACTGAGTTAAGAAGTTTCCGCAATGCCAGCGCCATTGCTGCACTACAAGACGAGGCACAGCTCACTCTCAACAGTTACATACACACCAGGTAAGATTCAACTCAGTCAGTCTATCTACCATAAGCTCATGCATTTTGCACCATCTCCTGCAGGTAATTAGCAGCCAGATTCATTATAAAGTTAATGAGGCAATAAGCCACTGTAGTCTCCTGTAATTGTTCACAGGTGCAACAGTTGAACCTTATTTTTAATTAGCAGCTACTTGTCACAGGTGTGTGTTAATTGAATAGGTTGCAGCAGAGCGTCTGCATATAGAAATGCAGAAAGATGTTGTTTTTGACTCCCAGTGATTTCTTTTCAGGTACCCGACTCAGCCCTGTCGCTTCGGAAAGCTGCTCTTGCTCCTGCCGGCACTCCGCTCGGTCGGCCCGTCCACCATAGAGGAGGTGTTCTTCAAGAAGACCATCGGCAACGTGCCCATCACCAGGCTCCTCTCCGACATGTACAAGTCCAGCGATATATGAGTTCTCATCATCTGTCCAGGCGCATGGAAAAGACTTGAGCTGAAGGCCCAGAGACCCACCCAGCAGTTGACAGAATGTCAAATCATAGCAGGTGTAACCATGGGATGAATCTTTTTTTCTGAGCACAAAATCTTTTAGGCCTTCTTAAAATAGCCTATTTAGGCCTAGGCTCCCTTGAAACAAAGACTGCAACACAGCAGGAATTCACCAAGTAGTCAGTTAACAGTTGCTCTAGTTAAGGAATAGCCTGTAACTTTCATTATAGAATTACCTGTATGATTCTGAAAAACTGCAATCTCTGGTGTGGGCACAGACAGCCTACAATGTTTAAAAATCGCCTAAAGACTCTGTAGAACACCCGCCAAGTATGTCTGACAAAGAAATGTTATATATTAAGAAGTTTTTTTCGAGTGTCTGTGAGACCAATGAGCTTGACGACCAATTCAGTCTTTTATTGCTGTGTTCAATCCCAATGGAGGAAACCAAAAAAGATGATGCATGCGTAATGGGGGATGTGAATCGCTGTCCCTCGATCCGGTGCTGAAACCAAACGCACGGGGCAACGAAGAAGAGGTGCCAACTCTATGAAGAATTAGGGGGTGGGGGGGAAAGACTTTCAAAGCATACGCTTGCACTGCCTCCTCACTGTAAAACTACATTCATCTGAAGATGGTGTTTGTATTTAAGTGGTTACTGTCCTGTTTGTGTTGGTGTGTCCTGTTTGAGGCGCAGCATTAAAAATGTTTAGGTCGACTTTGTGAAGTTAGACACTAACACTGGATAAAATATTCAGCACTTGGAAATGTTTTTTGTGGCCTGTGATGTTTTTATTCTGTTGTAAATATTTGGAGTTATAACTATTTAGAGTTGTAACCGAGAGAATAAAAGACACTGAATTAATCTGTATTCAAATAACCTACAGTAGATATAAAACTACCTGCTGCAGTTTTGAAACTTGTTTATAATACACATCATTGCAAATAATGGTGATGCTCTTCTCAGATCTGATTTTATTATCAATGTAAAGTTCAATTTCAAAAGATTTCTCAATAACCGAAGGATAAAGAACACGTGCTTAAGTAACTAATGTACGACTCATGATGATTTAATGCTGGCTATAGCAGGAATTCATGTTGCTCACCATTAAGACATGAAATCACTGTGAGTTTATGTGATTTGTTACCACTTTATGGATCATTAATTGTTCATTTAAAGAATCATTTCTACATTAATTTTAATGCCATTATATTTGCAGGAATTCAGTTACATTAAAAGTCCTAATTTATGTCACATTCTTAAGTTTGAGATGGCACCTAAACAGACTGACATGTTTAATATAACAGAATGGCCACTGGCCTCCCAAATAAAGCAACCACAGCTATTATTACAAGTTGCCTTGTTGACATGTGTCCCTTCAAGTAAAGTCGTGTTGTGATACTAATTTGAAAATAATTATGAGTACAGGTATGAAGAGGTACTTGGAGGCTTATTGAATGCATAGATCCAAAATACCAGTTTCTATTTAACTGGATTCAAGGTCATTTGGTGACTTATAATTAAATGTATGAGCTAACTGTGAATAAATAATTTATTGATGCGCTATTAAGCTTTAACTAATTAAATAAACTCTCAGTGACTTTATCTTCATGATACATCCTGTATTAATTCATGCATTAACTGATCACAAGTCATACATTGGTAATGCATTACTTAAGCATGTGTTTTTCACCCTTACTATGAAGTGCTATCCATTTCCCTGTAGAAGTAGCCTGCTCTAATCTAAATAAAACTCAGGACTGTTTAAAAAAAACCTCTCTGATTAGCCATAGGTCTAAATGTTTATGTAATGAAGCTGATAGATTAGGTATTTATTGAATCATAAATGTAATAATAAATAGTAATGGTTGGTGCAGCTTGACAGGTCAACAGTCCAAATCATTAAATGTAATTATGCGTGGAGACATTTCACCTATTTTATTGGAAAATCTTCAAAATAAACAAAAATGGCACAGCAGTATACAAATCTCGAAATGCATAAAGCCAGTAGAAATACTGCAGTTCCCTCTGTGTAAATTACTTCTTTCTTGCTAGAAAATCATTGCGTTAATTGGGCAGGTGCTGGTTGATATACACACACACACGTCTTTCCTTTTGAAGACAGGATCAACTAAGTGTGATTTGTAAGTCAAGGCCCATCAAATATATGTGCGTGTGTGTACGTGTGTGTGCCTGTGTGCGTGTGTGTGTGTGTGTGTGTGTGTGTGGATGTGTGTGTGCTTAGTTGCAACATAGTTATGGTGAGCAACATGCCAGTATTGGATATATATATATATATATGATGGAAAACGCTGTGGGTCTTTACGAGAGCTTTGCATACATAAAACGCTCATCCAATGTTACTATATAAATGAATATATTCAAGACAAGTTAAAGATAAATACATAATATATCCATGTTAGTGGCATTTCCAGACATAAAGAGAAATTACTATAAATTACTTTGAACCACAGTTATGTGTCGAACATTCTTGACTCCAATTAGAAGGTGAAAACAAACACAGATCAGGGTCACTAATTGAACTAAAAGAGGCAGTGAACAATATTACTTTGGGGGGGGCGTGGGGGAGGGAAGTTTTCATTGAAATGTTTATTGTCTGAGAGAAACCTGGAGCAGTGAAGAAAGCTTTGGGTTGTCGGGCCGAGCTGGGCAGGGCCGAGCTAGACCAGGCCAAGCAGAGCCGTCTTTTCTTTCAGGCTTGTCTGATTTTGGATGGGGTGTAGCTCTTGTCCACAGACTCGTCCTGTAGAAACATGTGCAGGCATCGTTCGTTCTGAGCTAGAGGGTGACCGGCCACTCTGAAACACACAAGAGCAAAAAGACGAGGCTTGATGACGTGGAGATAACAGACATGAACGCACCTTTGGACACAAAGACGCACATAGACGGACAGAAAGGGCAGAGACTGACGGGAGTATTGGTGTAACTTTGAGGTAAGAAACCTGGAATGGATTTGGCATGAATGACCAAAGTGGAAAAAAAACTGAGTAAGGAATCATTTGTAACGTGCTGGAAGTGACGCAAGAGGTCAGATAACATTTCCAGTGTTGAAGTGTGAACATGTAGGAGTTACCACCTCTGAACGTGAGTTTAAATACTGAAGTTAAAAAAAAAAAGAGACAAAAGAAATGGAAAGCAGTAATAACAAAATGTCACACTCTATAAATGTTTAATTTCTTAATGTCCAAAATCTTAAAAAACATCTTGCAATGTTTTAATCCTTCACACTACATACCTAATTCACATTAGCTCTGGTGGAAGCAACAAGTTTTTTAGCCCAGTGCCCGTCTGTCATATCAAGCAAACATTATGGAAAACATGACACTCTTCACCCCTCACATACTTCTTCTTTGGCCTTTATTTCATAGCTGACAGTGTACATATATGCTTTGTCCCAATTCCAAGACTGAACTGCAACGTCAGCTGTCGGAGTCAAGCTGGGGACCATTGTTGTAAGTCATCTCTCACTTCCTGTCATCTCTCTACTGTCTCTAAAATTAAAGGCACAAAACCGCTATGTTGCGATTAAATGTTATTCATTTCTTAACTACTCGGCTACAACCATACAAATGTGAATAAGAGGTTTAATGACATTTTGAAAACTGATGACATATACTGACTGGCAGTAGAGGGACAACTGTACAGTGATGACTATTAACTGTTTACATCAGCCACATAACCACATAATTACTGCGCATTTAATATAACCTTTACACACATTAGTTTATGGATGTGGTTGTAGTCATAAGCTCTTATTACTTTCTAGCAGTAGTAATGATTTTTCTTTCTCTCACCTCAAAGTCTTAAGAATAAAAGACACATATAAGAGCTGTAAGAGCTTCAACAACCACTAAATTAGTAAAAGATGACATGTCTCACCTAACATTTTGCAAAACCAAGTGTGTTACTTACCGTGAGTTAAGGTAGATCAGGTTTTTCTTGGGGTTTTGGTGATTGTGTTTTCCCCCCCTCAACATATGTCTTTATATCCTGGTATGATTTACCTAAATGAATCTGTATCTAGGACTGTGTTTTCCTCTGTTAAAGCCACTCTGACATCAGGCTTCCCCGAATGTCCCTTCAGATGACGCAAAGCAGCTTAACGAGAATAAGCCAGCGCACCTGAGACCCCTAAACATCTCATTTTTCAAAACGTTTGTTGTTGTCAGACCAGATCAACATGATGACATTGAACCTATGCAAGCATCTTAACCTCTAATGGGAAATATTTTGGACAAATTAAGCCGCCCGGGAGAGGCATTCACAGGTCAACTACCAGGACAATCACTGGAGAGATCAAGCTTGCCCCCAACAAACCCAGTTTAATAGGTTTTTGGAAATGTTGACATTGAGGACAAGGTGCAGCAGAAGCATGTTCAAATCTCAAGGCCTTGCTTGATTTCTGAAGTGGGGATGTAAGCCCTTCTTTTTTCTACCTCAAGCATGAATTATGTTTGACTAGCCTAATCAAAAAGTAATGGTTATCTCCTCTCCTCCTTCTCACTTGTTTCGCAGCGACAATCATGTTTACCATTCCAAAAGATTTGCTCTTCACAATGCTCTCAATCACAGATTAAACAATACTGCCAGCCACCTCGGCCAGGATTAAGTCTGAACAATGATATGATCAACAGCAGTGTTTCATTCATAGGAAGCAAGGGGGGGAAATAAAATCTTAATTACTAACACATTCTCATCTTCTTTAAAAAACATATTTATGGATTTTAATTTTCCCAACTGTCTTTGCACACTTAATATTCCAACAGGAAACATTGATGCATTTGCACATGAAACAAAGATAATGGCCAAGTCTGCAATCAAAGCAAATAATTACAATCACACTGTAACTTTTATTGTTCAGCAGCTGAAAATGGGGACATGCTGGATCAAAAATAAGCAGAGGTGCACACACCATCCCACAGAACCACGCGCTGTAATTTGAGCTGCAATTATCATAAATTACACATCAACAATAAAACAAATGTGGGAAAAATTATGTTGTGGGGGTGCCCACTTGAGTCCTCCTTGGTTGTTCTTGTCCTTTGCAAGGTAATTATGAAAGAGAATTAAGAAGGATAGTGAGAAAAAGACCTGTCTGTCTCTGCGGGTTCAGTTTGTTAACAATGTGAAGAGAAGTGAAAAAGTTGAATCTACTTATTGCACAAAGTGTCTCATTGTTCTTGAGAGTTAAAATAATACCACGCTAAGGCAGAAGCTGCAAACGACTGCGACGACAAAGAAAAAAATTGTAAAGAATAAATTGTTTTAACCCCATGGCAGAGTAGTGGAAGAACGGAGACAGACGGAGAAGATGTGGAATGGCTTACTTGTTAAGAAACTGCTCCAGACCCTGTCTCCGCTCCTCGATGAAAGAGTCATCAAATATCCCATCGTCCCCTCGAAACGGAAGCTGTCGGAAAAGAGCTTTTCCTGGGAGAGGAGGGACGACCACCTGAGATGAAAGAGCATCCACAAAAAAAATCACACAGCAGCAGATAAACAAGATTTTAGCGCTTACAATTAAGTGTATTGTACGATCTGGTAACAAAATGTTTATACGTCATTTCTGAGGCTAATAACCAGATAGTTTATGGTCCTCATTAATTGCAGGACAAAGAACACAAACCATGTCCAGGTGGAATCTCTCTTAACAAAGTGCAAAGGATTAAAATATATTTTTAACAACTTTCTCTCACATACAAAAACATTGCAGATGTGGCCAATGTTGTACTCTGATTTTTTTAAGCCAAGTACTCAAGAGCCTTTGTGTTGAGTTCACCTCAATGGCTCACCTTGCTCTCCCTCTCCAGCTCCGCTCTGAGCCACTCAAAGTCGCTGTACCGCCTCCGTACAGAAGACTCCTTCAGCTTGAAGATGGGTAGGTTGGTCTGTGGATACATACACAAACACACACATAGGAGGGAAACTTTTAAATGTGTCTTTTTTTAGGTGCTGCCTTGGTTTACTCAGGAAAACTCTTACAGTTGTTACACAAATGAAAAAATATTTTTTCAAGAAATTACTGAGATTGTCTTTCTTTCTGTGGACCCATGTTTAGCCTGTGCTTTAAATCTCAGTCAGTAACACAAAGTGTTCAATGTTCATCTCCTGTAGTGCAATAATGTTGAGCTTCAACTATTTAGATTTTTCATTATTGATTAATCTAACTATACTTTTCTGATTGTTTTGTCTGTTGGGTTTTGTCAAACCAAATGTCTTAAAGACAAATAAAGTTCATTTCAATGGCGTACCAAAGAGAAATGTGGCAAATCCTCACATATGAAAAGCTGAAAACAGAAAATTTGGGGCATTTTTGCTTGACAAATGACTAAAATAATTAATCTAGCCATTATTTTATTTGTTCCGTGACTAAATCACAATTCATTGCAGTAAAATAACTCATACTTCCCTTTAGAGCTGACACAACTAATTATTCAATCCCTCATAAATTAATCAGTAACATAACAACACATAACATTGTGTTTTGGGAAATTGTGATGGGCACCATTTTCTGACATTTTATAGACTGAACGATTAATTGTTTGCTTGAGAAAATAATTGCCAGCTTAATCGATAATGAAAGATCATTAGTTACATCCCTATTTCCCTTTGAATCATGGGAACTGACTCCATTATTTCAAACACACACTGGATGGTTAGTTTCACCTGAGACTTCACTGGTAATGTTTCAGTATAGTTGCTATAGCTACCTGATGGACTACACAGCACAATATACACCATGAAGGACCAGTATGTAGGATTTAGTGGCATCTAGATTACAACAGATCACAACCACCTCACCTCACTGTCACTTTCCATGTCGGAAGACACTATGGATGGCTGAGAGACTCATGAAAAATGCAAAAGGCCCTAAAAGCTATTATTTGGTTTGTCCATTCTGGGCTACTGTAGAGACTATGTGGTTCAATTTAAAGGAGGAACCGCTCCCTGTAGACAAAACGGCTCATTCTAAGGTAACATAAACACAGCGATTCTTATTTTCAGGTGATTGTACGAAAACATACCTATGAATATTATATTCCATATAATAAATATAGATCCTTGTAAACATTACACACTGGACCTCATTTTTGAAATGCCAAAATATAGACTTTTAACAGACTACTACAAGTGGCTACAACTACCAAACAATTAAGGGTTATACTTCCTGTGGGAATGGTATAAATAGCAAAAAAATTATCACTAGAAATTGGTAGAGACAGTGCCAACTTCAGAGTGAAAGGTTTTATTACATTGGTTTTGGGCATAGCCTTGCGTTATCTACTCTGACTTTATTGAAGGAAAAAAGGAGGAGAAAGAACAAAAAAAACAAAGACTCCTTCAAATTGAACCAAACTGAATAGAAAAATTCAAACTGGCCTCCAGGCAAAAAAAAGTTCACTTATGTTTTGCTCACCAAGGTCTATCGCACTCAGAATGTTTTGCCATTTTATTTTGTGTGCGTTTCTGTGTATGCCAATGCACAGATGTGTGCGTAATTCTAAGTTGCTGTTGACAAGCACTTGAGAGTGAATTTCATATTAAAAAGGGGAGATGTTTCGACATTGACAGAGAACACTGAGCAAACAGCACATTACAGCACAATGCCAAACCTCTTCACCAGTCCTGACAGCACATGGCCATCCCATGACAATGTACAAACAAGGAGGGAGTGAATGAGCATTTCATTGGCAGGCCACATTCACAGAAGGTCAGAATTCATGGAAGAAGGAATCACAAGAGCAAAGCAATTGAGCAAGTAAGGTGTAGCATGAATACAGTGTGAGCAGCAGACCGATCGATAAGCAGGCGACTGTGTGCAGTAGTGGGGATGCAGAGTTAACTAGAAGGCTGAGTAAATGGCTGAACAAAAGAGAAAGGAGTGGGTGTAGGTGGTCATAAAGGAAGAGCAGAAAAACTGGAGAGGTTGGGAGCTTCATCTGGTCTGTGCAGGACTAATTGAGGAGGAGGGAGAGCAGGAGTGGTCTTTTCGCTCTCATGGTCTCTCCCTTTCAGTCTTTTTCCTCTTTATTTCCCTTGCTCTGCGATAATAAGTCAGATTTTCTGCCCTTGAGACTCCTCTTATGCTGTTAGAATGGGGGAAAACAGGCATGCGTTTTCTTCTCCCTTTGCTCTCTACTCTCCTTAGTCCTTAAAATTATGGATCTTGCACAGATTTGGAGGGAAAGAGCAAACTGGTTTGATAAAAAATTGTTTATCATGACAATGAGAGCTGCCCGTCAACCAACATGCCTTTGATTTTAATATGTGACTGAAAAACAAATCTCACCTAGAGAAATTACTAAAAGAGAAACTGGGTTTATGTCAAAATATAATCAGTTGTCAGTTTATTTGGCACAACTAGTTCTAACAGTCTAACGCAGTCTCATGCAACAGTCAATGCAATAAATTTGCGATGGTTATAATCTTCCATTTTTTGTTGAGACTGTTTTAGAGAGGTGCTGATTTAACTGTATGGCTATTTTTGAGGACGCAGCTTGTGGCACTGTTGAAATGTACAATAAAGTAGTGATAGGTGTTTCTATTCAGTCTGTTTTTGAGCCACAACAAAGGCCAAAATGTGGCCTGTAACAGACTAGGTAAGCCTTGTTTTTTAGCCTAACCGAATGCCTTTTTGCTTTGTTGTAACACACGTCATAAAATGATGAATACTTCGCCCCTACTGGCCAGTTAAAGAGAGCGAAGAGTCAAAAGTCAATGGCAGTATAAAAACAGACCTGGAAGAAGTAATTAGGTTTAAAATAACTCCTTACAAGTGAATAAAATTGTATTTTCACAACAGGAACTGCTTCAAGGGAGGATCAAGGACACCCTAATAATTCAAGTCTGTTTGATATTTTGTAAGTACCTTGACCAAACATTGCTGCTTTATGGGAGGAACAGAGTGGATGTGTAACTGACAAAGTGGATGATGAGGAGACTTCTCTAAGTGGCCACCAAGACGCTGGAGTCGCGTACACGTTTACAGGGCATCTGCTTGGCTGAAAATGTGGCCAAAACTGCTCAGACAGCCATATCTTCATCTAAAGAGAGAGGCAGGTAAAACGGAAAGGTAAGACAGAAAGTACTATATATATTCCTAGGAGTGTGTGTCAGCACCAGAGAAAGACAGAAAGAGGTGTGTGTAACACAGAAATGTCCAATACTGTAAATGAGGCATAGTTTACCAACTGAAAGATTCTGTTATTATCTTGCAGACCTTAATCATTTCTCTTCTAATCGTCTTTTCTTGTGATCTGATAAACAGCTGATAATTATGTTAACTTTGTACATGATACTACCTGATTTCAAAATCTGTTCAGGTTTTTAAAACCCCTTAGTTAATTAGTCCCCAACTTCAGTGTTAGCTATAACGGGAAAGCTGTGTCATGACACAAGTTTTGTTTTTGACACAACCAGTAGCCTCGCAGCCCTTTTTCTAAAAACAAACAAACCATTTCGTATCCAGTTCTCTCTGCGACCTTTGTGGAGCGTGCACAGAATCAAAACACAAACAAAAAACTGATTTTGCTAAAGAGATGCAAAAAAATTATTCAAAAGAGATAGCCGGCCAACACGGCTCCTTTTTAATGAGGTCACGTTTCCTGTGATTAGAACCTTAACGTCGGTGAAATAACCTGGTTGAGATGACAGTTGCAATAATAGGAGTATTTCCTTACTATAGTTACAATCAAATGGGTGCCTGTAAACACACTGGCACTCCTTCTTTCCCACTGTGTTTGTATGTCACTCACCAGCCCTGAAAACTTCCCTTTCCCACTTATTTCAAGTTCTCTCCAGGTGAAGTTGTCAATGAGCCCCTCACTCCTCCTCTTTCTCAGGTCACAGGAGAAGTGGATTATCTTAGCTTTATCACCCCCAGTGCTCTAGCATTAACTCCACTCTTCCCTCACCGTGGTCCGTCCCTGCTGCGTCATGTTACCTCACAGCATGGAGCGCCGCAAAGTTAATCCCCCACCACAACAGATCACAGTTACAGGTAATCTGCCACCGCCGTGACTCTAATCCCATCATGTGCACACAGAAAACACTTAACCACGCGCAAGCACACACTGACGTACATGAAGTATGCATGCACAGGTGTTAAGTAGAAGGATTTGACCAGTCACACAGTTAACAATGTAAATATAATAGCCCAAAGCATTCAAGCCTGTTTGTACACACACAGTCGAACCCGGACCACTCATCTCCACACAATGAAGCTAGCAGTGAGAGTGTAGAAAAGGAAGTCACCTGGCCTTTCAGTCCTCTCTCCCTCTCAAACCCTGTGATTAAGAGATTGGCCTTGCAGGACAAGGGGAGGACCGAAAACGACAGAACTGAAAAATGAGAGGTCTCACTCACTCCTTCCCTCTCTCTCACACACACACACAAACAGAAGGAGGCGGTGCGTGAGAGCTCTACGAGTCAAAGATCAGGTTTCTCTGGCCTCTGTTCTCTTCACGGCTGGTTAGAGGTTAGGTCCTGGGTGTCTCAACTTACTGGCCCCTGCAGTGATTGGGACATGGGACCAGCCTACAACCAGCCGGGTCTTAGCATTTCATTAATTGTCTAAAAAGGCACACTTTGCCTCTCTCGCTTTCTAAGGAATATAATAGAAGATAAGAGAGAAAGGACAGGCAGGTGAAAGAAACTTAAGTTGTCAAAAAAAAGGACAAAAATGAAATCTCCAAAGTTGGAGGAAGCCAAATAAACATACAAATAAGGAATTAATGGGGATACTAAAAGCAGGTGAAAAAGAGAAAATTCAGAATCTTTAAAAAAAAGGAGCATAAAGCTAGCTATACCTCCTTCAAAGAAGACCTCCTAGCTTCACTTTCCATTATGAGTTTGCAAGGTGCAATCTACGCTCCATAGGAAGAGCATGTGATTCATAATGTGCAGGACACAATACCTTGTGCTAATAGAAAATGGGTTGAAAAGAGGCAGAACCCTTAAAAACAGCGAGAAAGAGAGAGAGGGGACAAAGATCACTCATCTCCTGAAAGAACAGTTCAAGGCCACCATGCATTAGCTTTTAGCAGGATGGATCAAGTCAAGTTTGAGAGTGTGCATCCTAAACCTCCCCCATGCCCCCTTCTTACCCCTCCCATACGCTCTCCTTTCAGAATAATAGCATAAAAAAATGGCAACATAATACCATCTCATTGCATCATATTCCAAAATGGGGGGAAAAAAGACAGGGAACAAAAGCGTTGGGGCTATAGGTCTTTTGCTCTCGCTCTCTCCATGTACTCTCACACTCGTTCTCTCGCTTGCCGGCCCCTGCGGCCTGACAGCCTACCCTCTCTCCGACTCGTCTAGCTGGCAAAAAGCTGCTTTGTTGCCATAGTATCAACTCCCACTTTTGATACTGTCATTTCAAGTAGGATATGGTAGCCTTGATACAATATGTTCCCTATTTCCATTAAAATAGTTGTCCAAGAGGATGCTGTAGACTTTGGATTACACTTGACTGTGCCTGACAAGCACCCCCCCCACACACACACCCACTCCCCATCTCTCCCCATTTTATTAATGACCAAAGGCCCCCGCCCCAATGCCCAAATGGAAAAGAGAAAGAAAGAGAGAGGGAGAAGCTATGGGAGTAGAGAAGAGGAGGGGTAGAAGACTGAGTGAGAGTGAGCGACAGAGCTATAAGAGGCCTTTTATGTACTCCTATCCATAAACAAAGTGAGATCCCAAAGTTCGCTCCCTTGAATGTGCTCTCTGGATGAGATGGGAACCAACTAAAGACAAGAAATTTTGATAATACCCAAAACCCCCCTCCCCCCTCCCCACACACACACACACACACACACACACACACACACACACACACACACACACACACACACACACACACACACACACACACACACACACACACACACAGCTTGAGGGGATCATCTCAAACAAGGAACAACCACAAAAAAACATTAAGATGATATGATTCTGTAGAATAACTCCATTAAGAATATAAAAAACGTGTGTAGAGGCAGAAAAGAAAAACGCCAAACCTACCAGCTTCCTGTGGTCTATAAGCCTTTACAGAAGCTACACTTAAAACGAAGGGATTTAGATGAGAACAAAAATCCATTGTTTCAACACGACCCTGGACATTACAAGTCTGCTCAGGCAAAATGAGATATCCGCCTCCTTTCACTATGAACTTAGCTTCCACCTCTTTAAAAACCTGACTGAAAGAAGTAGATTGATCCCATTGATTTTAAGCACAAAATGCAGGACTGGGTGTGAACAAGTGACTGTGTAACCTGCCTCGCAGCCACTGCAACCGGTTGGCGTCACAAATGATAATCCGATCTTTATACGATTTGTTTAACCATAAACTTGATGACCGTTCAGACACTACCACTGAGTCACAGGCCAAACGCATAAAAGCTGACGTACATTTAAAAAGAGTCCAGGCAAACTTTGATACTTTGATAAGAAGAATAAGGGCTCTGGTGTTTCACTGAAGTTAAACATATATAGTTATCACAGGGACTTCAATAACCACGCTATGAACTAACTGACTGCACACAGCTGGGAGTGAAATGGGATAAGTGGGCAACGGGGTGAAGGCTGGTGAGGGGGTGGCTTTCTGCCCTCCCATGGATGGGGGGGTGGGGGGTGGGGGGTAAGGATGGGGAATAAACGCTCCAGCTCCCCCACACCCTGGCCTGTTTCATTCTTCTCTTCTCTCAATGAAGGGATTAGGCAGACTCTCTCAGCGCAGCCACAAGGGCTCTCTCGATTTCAGATGGATAGCAGGACAACAGTTAGAAGGGACAAGCAACGGGAACGAGTTATAAACAGAAACTCTATAACATAAGATGGCAAAATTAAAAGTAGCTGTAAATATTGGAAGTAAGACCGAAAAACAAAAAGGGCAAAGCGTAGGCTATGCATTCCAGACTGAGGCATTGTGGCTAACACTCTTAACATGCTGGAGATGGAGTAAAATGCTTCTAAAGAAAGCTGAAGAAAGGAGAAGGAGAGAAGCAAAGCAAAGTTGACACCACGTTTGTTGAGAAGTGAGGGATGCGCCACTTATTCTGTGGTCTTATGCAAAGCAGGGTCACACAGGGCTATGAGGTGCACAATAATGCTGATTACACGCATATGCTAATTATTACACGCTAATCAAGTACAGTAGCCTTATATTCAACGCTAATGCCTGGAGACGGCTTCTCTCCCCTCAACCCATTTCTTTAAGGTAAAGGGAAACTATAAATACTTTAGGGCCGCTCACCAATCTAAATACTCCAGGACACTAACTACAGGGGTGTCAGTCAACTGAAATGACAATTTAAAGATAAGAGATGAGGCAATCAGATGAGCCTAGTGACTGCCTGACAATGTGAGACTCTCAATACAGCCTGCACATTAAAAACGCATACAGCAGAGTCTTGGAATGGCTCAATTTATGCTGAATTGTATGTGGTGACAAGACCTGACGAAAAATGAAACATTCAAACTTTCAAACTTTTTTTTGTCAAATCCTGAATATGGTGCCATTTTAAAGAAGAATAATACAAGTTTCTCTAATGTTTGTGTCGACCTCATATTGCAGAAGGACTTTTATACCTGATCATGTTTTAATTGAGCACTGAAACAATTCCTATTTTATTTTTGAGCTTAGAAACTAAAGCAACTAAAAAGAAGTCCAAGGTTGAGCTGGTGCTTTCAACCGTATCACACGGCGCATGGAGTTGGCTGCTTTAGATATTCAAACTTTCCATTGTTCCTCTGAGCACCTCTAGGATTTCTCATCTGTTGATGAAGGCCGTATAATATGGCAGACAGTTCCAGAACAAATGGGTAAGTTGCGCCTCCCCCCCGAATAATTTTGTTTGATCATCGTCCGCTATGTGTTCATTCATTAAAGTGTTATGTATAGTGTTGTTCTGAAAATGGTGGAGAATATTTTTTTTAAGCTGATTCAGCTTGATGATGACGACCGATCTGTGTTTTGCAATAGTCAGTCTAACTGTCACTCTCCTCAAAGATTGCTCAACAATCCCAAATCTCTGCAAGGAACAAGCAAATAGTCTAAACAACAATCCTAAATGTTTCTCTGCACATGCATTAACACCACAGCGACAAACCAGTTCACCTATTGCGGACAGGAACTTATCTAAGAATAGCCTTTGTTCTCCTCTTCAAGTTCTCTTCAGTGGAGGAAGGAAATGTGTTGCAGAGGGGGGTGGGTGAGACAGGAGAGGATCAGGCAGCGTGGTGCATCCTGTCTACACTTCCAGAGAAGCTGACTTGCTGAGTTGTGTTCCCCTTTGGCCGAGCACTGGAGAATACTACCGTGGATGGACTTTGATGAGTAATCAGCCAAGTCACACAGGACAGCTATAACCTGAAGCATTAAAACGCCCGCCGACATCCACCATATTATAACATGATGTGTACCTAGAAGGACAAAGCTGAGCCTTCTCTTATGTTAGGCTGGTCATTAAGTGTGACCAATGCTGTTATCTACTCTGTGCAGTCAGGAAACGGGGTGTGGCTGGAGTTTAACTACCAACTGTTCAGGGAGGATTTTTGAAAGGAGCTATTATTTGCTCATCTTTGATTCAGCTTACTACAGAGGTTATAGAAACTCCAAATTATTTGCGGACAAATGACAGCTGTGGAAACAACAGTGTGTGTGTGTGGGGGGGGGACACTTGAGGTTAATGTAAACAAGTTCCCTTCTCTGGCAGCAGGTAGCAGGTTCACTATCACATTGTTGTCTCTCGGTTGACTTATTGATTGACGTTTATCTCGTTGGGTTTGGAGTCAGACAGACAGCCAGTGTTAGCCACTGTGGACGGATGTTATCGTTATTAGCCTGCTAGGTAGCGTTGGCTAACTCGTTTCAGCTTTGCGTTTCTTAGACGGTCATTCACGCGTTTAAATACCGACTCTACGAGTGCATGTTTGTCTTTTTGCTTGTGGCAGTCTTGGTGTCAAGGAGTCATACCTTGGACTACGAGAAAGACGTTTCTTAGCTTGGGTACAGCTAGCGTGAAAGCTAACGTCATTAGCACACTTGTTACAGCAGGCTCACCTTCAGTCTGACTTCATACGTGGTGTATCTGCCCCTGCCGACCCCGATGGTCTCAGGGTTGCTCACGTCAATCTCTAGAAAATTACTCGGGGGTCCGTAGGCGTCATTTAAGTTCTGAGGCTTACTGAAAAGCCTTCTTGTATCAGCTATGGTGTCAGCCATTTCTCTCCTGTCCTCTAGCAGCCAGTGATAGTGTGAAGTTAGCGAGAAGACGAACGCGTACGTTCTTTTGCTACCCTTCAAAATAAAACATTTGGCGACTGTTGTATCGGCGTAATAACAGATGTGGTGAAAAGGGGACACTCGTTTAAGGGAGTGTGTTTATTTTATTACACCGCATATTTATATTCACACTTCCCCACCCGATTGTCTCTTTTACACGCCTAGAAATTGTAATTGTAGCTTTTATGTTGAAGGCAAACCCCCCGAGTTCCGGTGTTGCTCTGTCTCTAACTCCCGCCAACTTTAAAGGCCAGCGCGCTGCACTTCCGATCAGCTGAGGTTCAGCTGACACCGCTCGGCCACCTGCTGCTCGGTTTGTTTACAACCCGCCACCGGGCACACTGACGTCTCTTTTAACGATATGTCTACATAGTTTTAATATTTGTATTCGTATAATCCGGATGAAGTGCGCTTTAAAATAAAGTAATGGCTGCTGAAAAGTGTAAAAAAACAGGCAAATCCGACGTTCAGCATTCTTCACGTGTTTAGGATTTAATACTTAAAATGTTATTATTATTATTTTAAACTTTACTTAGAAAAAAAGCGGTATGTTTAATCTTTTTAATAATAATCATACCATCCAGTCATATACAACAACAAGGGTGTTTATAGGCCTAAACTGTGCAGCGGTTTGCGTTGTTTACAAGCTTGAATGTAAAGAAATGTTCAAGACTAGTGTTACATCTGATTAAATCTATTCAGAACTTCATATTTAAATCCCCTTCACGCTTGTGTCATGTGGCCTCTATGTGTCAAATGAATCTCAATAAAGTTTTCGCGTTTTGAAGCATCATGGCGGCTTACACGGTGCGTGCTGCTGTCAGATGCCCAATAAAATGTTTACTCAAAGACTCTGTCCTGACCTCAAAGACAGTCTGCCGTCTGTCGGCCATTTGCACTGGAAAAGGTACGCGTCTTCCCGTCATGTTGAAGTTAATAGTGTTTTAGTATAAGGTTGTGCGAGTGTGTTTACAAGCTGTCTTCTTACGTGATGCATGTTTGGTCACCTTGCTGGCTGCATAACACACAACCTCTGCATTACGTTGACTGTTGCATCTAAAGGAATCAGTGTAATATCTGCAATCGTTGGGTGGCGATTAACACAGATTACTTGTGTTTTAATGCTTAAAGTGTACACTAGCTGGAGGACATGCAGTTCATCTCCAGCAGCAGATATCTGTGCCTCTGTCGGACACTATGATCGCCTCGTTCAGCGTGGCTCCTTGAGGAAAGATGCTCAGCAGAGAGATGTTGTTCAGCGGCTGGCTCAGCTGCAGTTCACTCTGAGGGACTACAGTAACAACATCTACTTGAACCCGCCTCCACCGAGGCTAGACTCAAAAGATGACAGCGGTCAGCTTCCAGGAGATCAAAACCAGCACACTGCAACAGCTGAGAGTAAGAGTGGTGCATCTGCTGCTGAGGTAAAGGAGTCATAACACAGTAATGCATGATCTGATAATCAAACCCTCAATACTCTGAGATATAATACCAACGAATAATAAAAATATATATGAACATTTAGATTGATTTTGAAGTATCCTTGTGATTTAGATTATTCCTCATTGATGGATTTTTTTACACAGTTGATCAACAATGACACCAAAAGCAACCAGTTTCTTGATGTTTCACTCAGATTTAACCACATTTCCAGCAAGGAACAGGATTAAACATGCTACATGTTCAAAGCTCTCCCTGTCTGCCAGGTGCATGACTTCTCTCTGACTTGTAAAGTAGATATATTGCATGTTACAAACACGAAACAGAAACTCCAATAAGCTCCCACCCCTTCCATTGCACAGTTTGTGTAGGAGAGAGAGTATTTGCATGTTGTTGCAGACTGTGAATACAAGACTACCAGCAGGACTCTATAATCAAGATTATTGATTGAATCCAAACTCAACTCCTCCATATGATTTGGTCTTCATCAGAGGGTGGAGGTGTCTTAGTTTTCGTGGCCCTATGGGTGATATTATATTAGCTACTGTACCTGTATGTTAAAGCAAGCTCCATCTAGTGATGAAGACAATGCAATAGAAAAATGGTAAATATTTTAATTGAACTGTAGAAGTTAGTCCAGTGAGAGAATGTGTAAGAACGACTGTTTTTAGATGTTAATCTGCCAATCTATAGAACAGAGTTCCCACGCATCCTGGAAAACGTCTAGATTTCCGGTCATGGAAACACCTGGAAATTGATTAAAATGACCAAATATCCTGGAAATAATCCATGTTGTCATGGAAATGTTTGTTTTTTTATCCCCTCACTCAGATTGCCTACGTAAACTTGGGTGCATAAACTCAATATGTACATGCATACAGCCTATTAATGACCACATTTCTTATTGCTGTGACAAATACACAGTGATGTTAACTGTACGTGTAATTAGTACTTTAACTTTCTCAAAGATTGATGTTGAATAGAACTGTTACTTAAAGGTTGTGGCCAAATTAATGCGGTCAATTTGCCCGAAACCGCAGCTTATATGACTGTTAGTTGGTAAGCATGTGCTGTCCTGGATTGTCAAAAAAAAACTCCTGGAAAGGTCCTGGGAAAGGATTTGTGAAAAGAATGGGAAACCTGATATGGATTAACCAAATCTTATCAGACAGGGATCCCAGAGAATACATGTTATGGGTCCGCGGCCTGATGTGTTTCCAATTGGGGACACCAAAAAGTTTGAGAACCACTGCTCTACATATGGTAATAAACAATCAATAACGAGGAGTCAGTTGAGTTTAGGATGCTTCTGAATCATTGTCATTTTGAACCAGAACTGAGGGGTAGTTTTACATTGTTTGGACTTGAAACAAAAGGGTTAGGTTTAAGGGTTAGTAGTGTACATGCTGCAGTGTAGTTTCAGAGAATTCAAACTCAAATAAACAGTCGAAAGTCAAAATCATGCACTCAGTAGAAAATAGTGTACACTTCAAATGGCTGCATGGATCTGTTTAAAGCCTTTTACAGTTTGGCATCTGGACTCTCATTTCTTTTATAAAGCCCCCAATGACGTCTAACATATGGAGCTTACTTCACAGAGTCCACTGCACTGTACTCCAGTTGTATCACTGATGGTGGCCATTGGGCTTTGGTCAAAGGGGAGGGTAGGGGTCTGGGAAGAGTATTGTGCATGTGAGTTTTGGAACGGCGTGATGTAGGGGGCTGTTGTTGTTTTTAGGTCAGGGGAGCTGACTGTCTAGTATTTGGTGGTGGGAGTTTTTTTTTGTTGGTTAGCTGGCACAGACACATAGGGTTAGGCAGAGATTTTGGAAGGCAGCAGGGCAGACCTCCCGCTGGGCCCGTCCCGGCACCCCTCTCACTCTCTCACCGTCCCCATGCAGTAATGAGGGGATCCCCATTGTTTGGGCCATTCTTGTCCTTTTTGCTTTTGATTCGGGACTCTGACAAATACTTTGGTGTTAGGCTATCAACACCACCGCCCCCCTCTCCTTTTGCACCTTATTTCTTGCTCTCTCTCTCACACACACATAGACACTGACTGGAGTACTTATGCAATTATTCTGGTTTGAATCAGGTCATACCACTGTCCTTTCGGTGTCTGTTCTCTCTGTGAAAGTGCCGCCATTGTCCTCACTAACTGACCAAGTCTGTGAGGAGAGTACACTTGACTTAATATTGACCCAATGTGGCGTGGTTTTGCGGATGGTCGGCTAACAATGGGCCATTGTTTAGAGGGCCACCCTCTTCAAGTCAGACCTGCATCATAGAGTCCTCCTGTACATTGTAGGTCTCCAGCACAACAGTTGTACCAGTTAAACCAAACTGAGACTCCCACAATCACTCCATTAACCTTGTTAGTGAGAGACATGACATCTCTGGCTGCAGATAAACATGTTCAAACGCAGTTTTCCTGAAGTCATTTCAGAGTCAAAGTGGCCATGTCCTGCATGTGAACTTTACACTCATGTGCCATTCTATATCCTCCGATGGGAGGTGAGACAAGGCCACAGAGCTCAGCTAGACAGAGTGGTTGAGGGACATCCTTGTCCTTCTCCACTCTGCCGTGGCAGAATGGCTTCCAGCAGCCACTGACAATTACCCCACCATGCCAGAGGGCAGCTTGGGAAGTCAGGGCGAAGTCACACACTGTTTTGCCAGAGCAGACAGGAAAGGCTTGTTGCTCTTCCAGTATTTCGCTCCAGCACAGGACAGGCGGGGATGGAGGAATGGAGGGATGAAGGGGGTACAGGGGAGGAGTGGGGAGAGGGCAGGGAGAGAGGATGGGTAACAAGTTTGTTTTTTCATTTAGTTTTCAATTGGCCATTGTCTGCATTTACCAGAGTCAAGTGCTCCTTGTGAGGTGGACACCAAGTGCAGTGGACACTGAGTACCGTCTCCATGAAATAGTTGCTAAATTAAATTTTAAGAGGACAGACCTTCCTATTTAGTGCTGAGTTAATTCCAAAGCTATTTGCCGTTGCCCGGTTACAGAGATGGACAATCCTCAACCACACTGTTGTTAAAACCTTATAAAACATCTATCATCAGTCCTCCTGTATACAAATATGTTCACGTTATCACTACGTGTCGTGATTAAACTGATGACATATGCATTCACATGGCTTGGTCCCCTCTTTAGAGATATTTGGCTTTACTTGATATTCTCAGCTTGGTCACACAGAAGACGTTTTTTTGAAGCAAAGACCTTTTGATGATAGGAGGCAGGCAGCACAATGACTTCCAGCAGCACCTCAATGCAACAGTACCGTATCACAATTAGCAGCGCTAAACAGGCTGCACAGACAAGTCCACTCCATCTCGTATGGAGCCTCATCCAGTCCTCTCCGTTTTGTCTGACAAATCCCCCCATTGTTCCTCTGATGATGCTTTTCTTTCGTGGGAACCCTGGCTTGTCTTGTTGATTAGATCCCCTTTGTCTTCCTCCCCTGCAGTGGGCTAGTCTGGAGAATGTGAAACCTCACACTGTAGTGGTGGCTTAATGCCTCAGCATACTTTGTT